AACGGATGTCCTCTGTTGGTGAACAATTGGTAGAAAGTTATTTTGAACATCAAACTTTTAAAAAAGCCGATCATTTTGTTGACAATAACATACAACCACACTTAATGGACGAAGATACTGATTCAGAGAATGCAGAGAAAGAAGAGTAATGTTTTTTGTGTTTCACTTGTATTTTTTTTGAAAGAATAGTTTTTGTAATAAAATGAACAAAATCGTCCTTTCTAAAGCATTCTCTAGCCGAAGAGAACCAAATGAAACCAGGAAGTTGAAGAAGGGCTGCTTTTGACTCAACTGTGACTGTGTCGATATGCATTTTGACTCTTTTAAGGCTGGTTCTGGCGTTTTCGTCCAGAAGAAGTTTCTCATTCTCAAAATAAACATTGCTATGATGATCAGCATGGTCGATAATCTATGTCTCAACTCTTTTTTCTTTCTCTTCGTGCAAGTGTTTCCTTGCAGGTCTGTGCTCGGAAATCTCCTGTATCTCGGGAACCTTAAGTGATGGACTGAATTCTTGCGTAGTTGGGAAAAGGACCGTTCATAGGTATATACTAGCGAGAAAAAGAAAAAGTTTTCTTTCGGAAAACTGTACCGCAAAAAATATTGTGTCGCATTTTGTATTGCAATAAAATGTGTCGCAGCTACTGTGAGAAAATTGTGTCGCATGTACGTAGGTGATATTAGCAGCGAATTCGACTATTTTCCAAAAACATTCAGTCTAAGAACTGTGCCAGCTTCACTGCTGCGCCAGATACAATTTCGAATTTTCTGTCCGTTCACATATTCAGCCTTCCCGTTTATTATCCACAAAAGCGTTAAAAAACAAAATAACGATTTTTTCTACCGACAAAATATATGAAACTTTGTATTTTAACAAAATATTCGCACTGAAAATTGGGCACAAACCAACTTAGGGTCTTTCGCTACTCACTAAGATCTACAAGATAAAGGTAGTCTGAGTTCAACAGCGATTTATAACCTCAAGAGGTGCCTTTGTTAGTTCAGCAGTAAGCTGCAAACTAAATCCACAGTTCGTGTTTTCATCAAGCAACACGAGTAGTTAACAAAAACTCGCACACTTTCAATATTTCCCTGAGTCGTTCACACACAGATAACACTTTCTACGACCCAAAGAAATCTCAAGAAAACGATGTCAAAAAAGAGCCTAAACAAACGAGTGTTTATTTCGTCTCTTATACTCACAGCAAACCTAACCCAACTTTTTCCTTATAAGCCTCCGACAGAGCAAGCTCTTAGCTTCAACTTTTTCAAAGAACAGAGTTCCTATCTAATTCTCAAATTTTCATTTTTTGATCGATAACTCGTATTTAAAGCAAACAAAATTCCGGAAAACTGACGTTGCCACTTCTGGAATTTTGAGGGTGGAAATAAGTGTGCCCGACAGAGCTCGATGAGCACTATCAGGCACACTTATTTCCAGAGATGGCACAGCTTTAATAAAAACCGTTAGACCAAAATACAAAAGTTTGAGTTTTCGTCTCGTTCAGAAAATCAGTATTTTAAACGCGAGTTCAATAATATTTTGGAAAAGTGATTTTACCAATCGATAGAGCTCATGGAATTCTATCTGGCACATTTATTTCCAGAGATGGCACAGCGTTAATAAAAAACGTTAAGCGAAAATATAGAAATCTACCGCTAACTTCCTTTGTAAGTTTTTTGCGGATTATTCACCTATATACCATTCTATCTCAACTATTCGGCCGGTTTCGTTATTTATATTTGGAGTGGAAGCTTATGTCGAGAAGAATTGGCAACGGTCCTATGGAGACGATTACAGTCTTTGATGGTTAGGTAACTAGAGATGAAAAATCCGCAAAAAATTTTGCTTAATTAAAATCCGATAAGTCATCGAAAATTAACTTGATTGAAAACTGTTTTTTGATAAAAATACATAATCTTGTTGAGTTCTTCATCGTCTTTCTGATGAGGTACTCGGTGTTATCATTAAACTTATTTACCATTGTTGATTAATTTATTAGTGCCAATTAGCACTAATTCGTGATTTTTGAGGTGTACATTAACTTCAGGCAAAAAGTAAGGCCTGCAGATTGTAGTCCGTCAAATTCTACACTGAATGGTATGTCGTTTACTATTTTTAGATGAAATCTCTACATAAGAAGGTTCAAAAAAAAACGAAAAAAAGGGCTAAAATTATGTCTGTCACTTTACTGTACTTTTGCCAATTCCCTCGGTATGCGACATAGATTTACGTATAGTAGCATAATGAAAGTCTTGCTAACTCAACCATTACTGTAGTCTAGTTGAGCTCAACGAAATAAATGTCATGAGATATTTTGAAATTGCGTTCCCTCTTCTCACTGCTGAGTACTGTTCGACGCATAACGACAATAACTCACAGCTTGCTTTGTTCTACAGAAATAATTAAAATCAGAAGGATTTGCTTCTTAATTGGATTGAGAATTCTTGTGAATGGCAGACGCCTATTTTTGGACCTTGTTGTAGCGCCCTCTCACGAACAGTTGCCTTAAAACGATCGATTAATTTTTCATCAAAATTTTTTTTAGGATTGGACAATTCGAAATATTTCGCATTTTCTATCTTAATAGTTTCATCAAATAGTGAAGTTATTGGTTCAAAATATAATTCATTTTCTTTTTGCTCTAATATTTCAATATTTCAATAATTAAATTATCTAATTTATTTAGTTGAATTTCTAATTTAAATCGATTTAAAATTCTTTCGATTTCTTCAGTAAAATGAAATTTAAATAGAATATTATTCGCTATATGATAGACTAATTGTTTACCTAATTCTACATTTTCTTCACTATCAATTAATTGAATTTTGGTCATTAATCTTATTTGCAAATAATATTTTAGGGAACGTTTCAAAATATATTCTTCGCGAAGTTGGTGCAATATGAAATAAGTTTACAGTGAGCACTCGCCTCCTCGAATATAAAAAAGATGAACATTTGATGAAAATATAAAATTTGTTACTTTCTAATTTTATTCTTTAAAGTTTTATTAATTCATTTGAACCTACGAATATTTTTGATGAATTTCTGGCATGTTCATCTCAACATACCAATTTAGTTCACCTACAACTTTCTTCTGCTTGTACTTCTACTTTACCGTCAGATACATATGAAAAAAAATTTTATCTTAAAATCTTATATTGTTCAGCTAATCTAGATAGGTGTTCATCATATAGTTTTCTTTTTTTATTAGCTGTTTCTAAATTATTATCTGCCGCTTTACGTCTTGCATCTGCATGTCGCGGTGGTAGTGACGATGATGTTGCCAAATAAGATGCTGTTAAGGTTGAAGGGGAGGTTTGTGAATGCGAAGCCGAAATCGAAACTAAATTGGTATGTTGAGATGAACAGGCCAGAAATTCATCAAAAATATTCGTAGGTTCAAATGAATTAATAAAACTTGTTTGACCTTGTAGAATTGTGGAAGTGTTACCATTTAAACTAAGTACATTACTTGCTAGACCATTTGATTGAGGAAAAGTTGTTAGTGTTCGAGATGGTGGTGGAGGAGAATCAAAAGCAATAAGATCTGGTGTTGTTGAATTTGTTGTAGTTGATTGAGGTTGATGATAATTAATACAGAAAGACGAAGATAGATCAAGAAGAGAACCAGAAAGAACATGGGATGCATTTGCACTATCATTAATATCTAGAAGTGGAAACATTGCAGGAATCAAATTACTAACGTTTAAATTATGTTCTCGTATCTCATTATCAAAATCATCTGATTGAGTTTCAATTATGATAGACGGTTCAACCATATTTTCACTTTCCGCTGGAGTTGGTAACTGATCTTCATCTTCTATACGATTTTCTTTAACTATTTTCCAAAAATCAGAATTTGAGCGTGGTTGTTGCCCAAACATTGTTTCATAAGGTGTTGTTTTTGTTGTTGATGAAACCCTAGTATTTATACCGTAAACAACTAGGAGAAGACCATCTGATCAAATGAGCTGAATGATTTGTATCAAGCCATTTTCCTAAAGTAACACTTAAAACACCATTAGCACGTTCTATACAACCTTGTGATTGTGGATGTCGTGGTCTTCCTCGAATAAAACACATATCTGGAAAAAGTGTTTTAAGCTCAACAATCACTTGAGCAACAAATTCTGCACCATTATCCGAGTGTAATAAGTGTGGTGGACCAAAACTAAAAAACAATGCACGAAGTTTCGACGTAACCTCAACAGGTGATTTATTTTTCAGCGGATAAGCAAATGTAAATTTTGAAAAATGATCGATACAATGAAGAGTCCAGGAATAAACGATATCACTACTTACAAAATCGGGTCTTGTACGCATATCTGTTAAGTCAATTTGCAAGCTTGTCATTACACCCAAAGATATGATTGGTTTCGATACAACCGGATGTTTTAATGGTTTTCGTACTTGATATGCAATACACGTTTTGAGATAAATTTCAACAACAATCTTTGGTACCCATGAATAATGTGAATTTACTTCTGCCAAAGTTTTATCTCTTCCTCCATGGGAAACAGCTTCATGACATTCTTTTATGATATTAAACAATGACTCATAAACACAAATCGGTTTTTTACTTTTTGTACAATAGACAACGTCAATACCAGCAAGTTTCACAATAGAAAATTTTTGCCTGCACCGAAATCTAAATTTAACAGATGAAGAGTCTCCAGTCTTATCTTTTGGAAGTAACAAAACTTTCAAAATGTCATCACACGTTTGTTTTTTTATGAAAGTTTTATCTCGATATTTCTGTTGTAACGAATTAACATATTTTTCAACTTCATCATAAAATTTTTTTTCATGTGTATCTGACGGTAAAGTAGAAGTACAAGCAGAAGAAAGAGTTGTAGGTGAAATGGAAGAAGATGGTTGTGTAGTAGACGAAGAGACGCCATAATTAATTTGAAGTGTTTCGACAAATTGGCAAAAGTAGAGACTATATATACTATCATTAATTTGGACGTACACACGCACAACTGTCGAACAGAGTATGATGCAATGTGAATAAGGTATGTAGTACACCCAGAATAAGAGAATAACAGAAGAAAATTAATGGTATTTTCAGTCGTAAACTAATCACACTAGCCTTTAAAGTCTCTTTACACTGTTCGCTTCATTCTTTCCTCAAAAATAATGAATGATGAATGACTGAAGGCTGATTGAATCTCAGATTTGACTGATCTACAACGTAAATGCAAATGTAAGACGTAAAGCGACAGATAATTATTTAGAAACAGCTAATAAAAAAAGAAAACTATATGATGAACACCTATCTAGATTAGCTGAACAATATAAGAAAAGAGATTGTGTCGGTGTTAAAAT